CCTTGTTCAAGTAAAACTTCATCTTCGGCAGGGAACCCGCCCGTCTAAGAAAAATACCCATGCTAAGGACATAAAGCGCTACCTAAACACCGGTTGTTCTATTGGCAAGGATGGGCTACTGGTTGTTACACGTACGGAGCCTCTGGCACCCTCGCGCGAATGCATTATTGTTCCCAGAGCTGTGGTCGATGGATTACTCACCGCACTTCATGTCCGCCTTGATCATCCGACTTGTCACCAACTTAAGTTATCTGTGCATCGCTATTTCTATGCCCTTGATATGGACAAGTCTATCGAGCTGGCGTCTAATACATGTCACCACTGCGCATCTCTTCGTAACGTACCACACACTAAAATACAACAGTCCACAGGAGACCCGCCAGCGATACTCGGACTTACTTTCGCTGCTGATGTTTTAAAACGAGAACGTCAATTTATTTTGGTTGTCAGAGACTGTCACCTCCTTCACCTCCACATGCTTGATTACGGACGAAACACACACCACATTACGCGATGCCCTGATTCGCCTGTGTATTGAAATGTGCCCAATGGATGGTCCCCAGCGACTATTCGTACTGACCACGCCCCTGGCTTTGCTGCACTTGTTAATGATGAGTTGTTGCTCAAACACAGACTTGTAGTTGAGATGGGCAGAGTTAAGAATATCAACAAAAACCCAGTGGGAGAGAAAGGAGTGCGTGAGCTGGAGGATGAGTTACTTCGCCAAGAGCTTAGTGGTGGACCTGTTTCACCTACAGTACTGTCTATTGCTACTGCCCGTCTCAACTCTCGTATCCGCACTCGAGGTTTATCGTCACGTGAAATGTGGACACAGCGGGATCAGTTCTCGCATGTCCAAATCCCTGTATCAGATCAAAAGTTGATTATTGACCAGCACAACCTTCAACCAACAACCACCCCTACAGCGAAAAATCTAAAGCGCCGACAGCCGATGTGGCACCTGATACTTCCGTTACCATCGGGGATTTGGTTTACATTTGGGGAGATCGTAACAAGACCTCTGCACGAGATCGTTACCTTGTTGTATCTGTTGATGGAGCCTGGTGCACAGTTCGTAAGTTTTCTGGCTCTCAGTTGAGAAGCACTAGTTATCGTGTCAAAAAGTCTGAGTGCTTAAGTGTCCCCAAGGGTAAGGATGCAGCAACTCCACCATGAAGGACTCACAGTGATACATCAGATGATGAGTATCAATGCCCTCCTGTAGCTGATCCATCACCACCCACTCCACCTGCCGTACCAGAAGCACTCGCTGTTCCTCCAGTTGACCTCATGAAGGCGCCTTCGTTGGAAGCTACACCACCATCTGTGTCGTCTCACGATCATCCTGCAAAGCCCCTTCTACGCCGTTCAACACGTCGAAGGAGACGTCCTGAACGATTCTCTGACTATGTTATGGATCAGTAGTATTAGTACATGCTTGAATTTTTATAGGTTTAGGTTTATCTTCGATTTAATACTGTCTGTTTGAGTTTGTTCATAATCACTTTTCTGTCAACAACTTATATTTATTATGCTCTACTTAATGTCCGGAGGTTATAACAAGGTAATTCAACAAAAGGACGCACATCTCCGCTCTCGAACATAGCGCGTGCGTACAGTCCTTTGATCTTTACTGTGGCATCGACAATCCGATACTAGTTGCGAGTACAGCCGTCAATTATTAGTCTATGCGTGCCATTCGTTTTATGGTGTTAGTTTTTATTTTATTAATTTTGGGTACTTCGCAATGTCTGTTACATTTACATTTTTTTTAACGCGAGCTTGTTAAATGCTTCTATAAACTGCAATTTGATTTGTGAAAATTGACCAAGAAAATGAAAAGTTATAGCAATTCAAAATTTACGAATTTTATAAAATTTCATGTTCTTATGGAATTACGAATAGGAATATTTCGCGCGAATACTTACGCTAGCGTTCACTAATCGCCCAGTCTGGACATCTCGCTAGTTACGCCATGGATTAACGTACGCCCGGCGTTAGATACGCCTGGCGTATCTCACAGGTCTGAACGTAGCCAAAACCTTTGATGTCCCGAGATGTGCGTCCTTTTGTTGAATTACCTTGGTTATAATCACGCTTGTACTATTGTGATTGACACTTTCTAATCTGTAATGATCTTAAAGCCCCATTCCCGGCAAAATTTCACAAAAAACTGACTTTTTTTAGAAAATATTCATTTGCATTACTCCAATTATTACAAATCATGGAAAAATATTGGCATGAATTTTAGTTTACCCAAAAGAAAGAGAAATACAGACTATTTCTCATAGAATATTACCATTTTCTCGACGAGTTCATCGTTTACTAGGCAGCAAATTCAGAGGTTGTAGATCGCATCCACTGGAATACTCTCGCTTTTATGTATACTTTTATACAGTCAATAAAGTGCGCCCTCTCTAATGAGATTAGTTTTGTACTTCGTATCTCGCACAATGCGCTTGTTCGATTAAGGCTGAGATATGTTTGTTAAGTGTCAACATCTCAGTCAGAAACAAATTTGAAATAATTCCTATGAAATATTATATTTTACAAGTGTCAATACTAGCAACGGAAAATATCATGTCGGCCGTTTTTATGTGTGATAACAGAACCTAAATCGAGGTAAGGCTAGGCCTAGCCTAGCAGCGCTGGATAGGCTAATGTTTTCGGCGCCTACGATATTTCTTCTCACGACCTATCGCAAAATCAAAATGAAAAACACAAAAAATCAAATTTCAGTCTTATTTTACATTTTTTTCATTCTTAGGAATGTCTAAATTCAGTTAAACTAGCAATTCCGTATTATATTTATAAATAATAACATTATACAAAAATTAGATTTTTCTTAAAAACTGAAATTTTGCCGGGAATGGGGCTTTAAATATATTACTGAGTTTTATAGATAGTATGTTTGCCTCCGAGTGTTACTGTGTCAGTATGCACAGCATGAAACTGACAAGTGTTTTCTTGCTGTTTTTTTTTTTTTTTTGTTAATTTTTTTTTTAAAAAGGCGTAATAAAGGAATAAATAAAAGGACAAGAGAAGTCACGCCAGTGTTAACACACTGTGATTTGATTAGGCGCCCTCTATGGGCGGTCTCTCGATACTCCATCTTGGATTGATGGACTGTTGTTTTGTTGGCTGTAATAAAGCTTTGTTGTACACTACTGCTAGTGTGTCCGATTGTAGTCTTTGTACTGTGGTTGTTTCTTTTCCCCACTGGCGTTGGTACTTGTGTGAATATGCTAATTTCTCATTTGAATAATTAATATTTCACTAATCAGAAAATGTACGCTAGTTACCACGATAATTAAAATTTGAAAAGTCCGATTGGTTTCCAATTAGCACAATGCAAGATGGATAATAAAGTGATGAACCCTATTTTCGCTCATTGTTCATTTGCATAATTGGTATTTCACTAATCAGATAATTTACGCTAAATCCATCATTTGCCATAAAAAAATCTAATTTTATTAGTTGAACTTGTAATAGTTCTTCATATTGTCGCTGTAGCTGTTGTAGTAAATCGTTTGTTAGCACGATAACTAAAGTTTGGTAATTCTGATTAGTTTTAAACCCCCACTTTCAAAGAAAAATCAGACGATGGGAAGGCTACGCTTTTAAAAGGAGGAGCATTCTTTAGTTTTATTTTAGGGCTAAATTCGACGTTTTGTATTTTTTTTTTCATATTAATCTCTTAATGAATAAGGTTTTCTTGTTGAAATTGTTGAACTATCAATTCGATAAGCGTAGATATAGAATTGAACAGACGAAAAGTTTCCTCACTTACCATATTACCATATTAATCTCTTAATGAATAAGGTTTTCTTGTTGAAATTGTTGAACTATCAATTCGATAAGCGTAGATATAGAATTGAACAGACGAAAAGTTTCCTCACTTACCAATTAACGATACCAGTAAAAACAGTAACAACAACAATAACTGGTTTATTAGCTGTAATGCAATGTAATGTAACAATAATTGTACTCTATGGCAAATGGAGATTGCAAATAACCGTTGATGATATTACATTTCAGAGTCTGGCACAACCTGTTAGTAATCGCAAGTGCAGATTGTATTAAAGTTTATATTCTTGAAAGAAAGGAGAACGAATACAACTTTCGTTTAAGAAATATGACTAAAGAGCTAACAAAGGATTTGTTTTTTAGTTGTAGTTCAGTCAGTGTTTGGGACAGAAAGTGTGTGGTAAGTTTATTGAAAGATTTGCCAAAACAGGGAGGCCTGAAATGTGGAGTAATGAGATTTTAAAACTGAATAAATGATTTATCCTCATGTTTTTTGTTTTTTTGTTTTTTTTTGTGCAGGGGCGGTGAGGTTCATGGCTGCATTTATTTCTATACACTTTTTTTTTAATGAGAACCTGTAAAATTTTGCCCAGACACAGTATTCTAATTTTTTGCCGATTTCAGGCTCAAGGATGTTCTTGGTACCTAACAAGGAATAGCCACCCACAGAAATATAAATCAAATAGGCACCCAATGGGAGCAGTGTCTAGACCAGCATTTCTCCGGCGTGTGGTTATTCTTACCGCAGTTTTTGCAATAATGAACCCAACTACAATTAGGTTTGAAGCAGAGCATATCCTGTCTCTTATACACATCTAGATGTGTATAAGAGACAGCCCTAGGGTAGTATTATCTCGATCGGCCCCACTTTCGGCCATCTCTGGATCCCCCCTGATTATAGAGGTTATTACATACTGTAGTCACACCTACTACAAATAAGGTACGGATAAGATATGTTGGTTTTTCTATTTGGCATTTTACCTCAGCCTCAATTTGTTCTTATTTTGTTCCTGATTTTTTGGCAATTTCAGCCGCAATTTTCTTACAAAAAAAAGTGTATTTCTTGTAGTTGATAAAGGGGCCAGTGTCTGTTTGCACTTCTTTACTATGCTTTTTTTTTATATTTCTCTTCTAATCAGTTTCTGGTAATCCGTTTGGTAAATGCATGAGCACATAACACTCACTTAAAAAACCCACAACTAATGTGATTTTCAAACCATACAGTTTGTAAGCTAACATATATAACGCCCTCTGGAGTAGAGAAGCGAATAAAATAGTTCCGTAACAAATCATTCTATTGGCTCAAGCATGTTCTTTTGTTGCTCTGTTTTACACAACATAGTAGAGTAATTATCAAAGAACATAATACCTAATTTTCCGGAAGCACGCCTATTTTAATATTAGGATCTAAGTAGTTTGCTTAGCCTAAAATTAATTTATTTAAATTATTTTTTTATCAACAGTTTCACTTAAGGTACCCCAACCAGTTATCGATTGTGATTTATGATTTGGATGACCTTCAACCTCAAGTGTTTCAAGTGTCACATGGACCATCAAAAACAACTAATCAAAAATCCATGACTGATATACGTATATTTGGTGATTGCATTTTATTCACAATTGACGAAGGTAATAAAAAAAAAAGTTCAACGACAAAATTAATTATTTAAAAAAAATGTATATCTATTTTTATAAGAATTAAAGTTATTTTTGTTTTAAATGATTTGCATATGCAAACAAAAGTGCTTACATTAGGGACTTTATTTATTAGTCAATAGATGAGCTGTCTGAAAACCGTATAATCGTGACGGTTTTAACAGAGTTTGTTTTACTTTCAAAAAATTATTAGAGTAATACACAGTAAATTTGAAGTTAACAGTTAACTTAAGTTCTGATCTTCTTTCTCAGAATTAACTGTACTTCAATTTATTGTTGTTTTTGGCACTGGTTTGGAATTTAGCTTTAAATTCATTATTATTCTCTGTTTGTTCTTACTACTTGCTCTTGTTGCATTATTCTGGCTCTTATACTTTAAATCCTTATACAGTACTGAATTTCTGTCTGTTTCCTTTTTAATAACATCAGGTATATTAATTTTCTGTCTTTCATTTAAGATTTGCTTATTATTGTTTTCTCAGTCTAATTACAAATTTTAATAGCAAGTGCATGGTTCTTATATGACTTTTCAAAATGAATCTTTCAGGTTCTTGAATTCATATAGTAAGTAGGCATATAACTGATTCATTTGTTCATCATATTATTGGTTAAAGGGATCCTTATAATTAAATTATAAATCCTTATACAGTACTGAATTTCTGTCTGTTTCCTTTTTAATAACATCAGGTATATTAATTTTCTGTCTTTCATTTAAGATTTGCTTATTATTGTTTTCTCAGCCTAATTACAAATTTTAATAGCAAGTGCATGGTTCTTATATGACTTTTCAAAATGAATCTTTCAGGTTCTTGAATTCATATAGTAAGTAGGCATATAACTGATTCATTTTTTCATCATGTTATTGGTTAAAGGGATCCTTATAATTAAATTATTTTGTTTTGGCCTAGAGCTATATGTCTTCAACACCAAAACTGGGGAGCAGGTAATGCTGAAGATCGAGGGAGCTAAGGGGGTAGCAAGGTACACATTATGTGGAGACTTGCTAGTGATGCACCATTATCGGCCATTCAAGGAATACATTCGCAGGATCAACTCCAGCGGGCAGAAGGACCCAATTTGGTTTACGTGGACTGATGAAATTTGTGGCAGCTTCCAAGCTGGTTTATTTGATTTCCATCGTAGTACCCTAGTTTTGCCTGCTTTTGAATCACAGCTGTGTAGTACTAGCACTGACGGATATAACATGATAAGTTACGGTAAAGGAGGTGTACTTTTAATTGGTAAACTTTCACAAAAAATAAACTACTATGTAAACTGAAGTGTATATGGGTATAATATACAGATATCAGATCGTTTGAAGGACGTAGTCCAACATATTGAACTTGGAAAGAAGTAAAATTAATTACTTCTCCATTGTATACAATCTGATGTGTGTAGTAAATGTCAATAATCTCTTGAATATTTTGATAACTTCACCTTCCTCGGTAGCATCGGGTAATCTGTTTGATGCTGAAGTAGAATGCTCGTATTGCAAAAGTCAGTGCTGCTGTAGCAGACTAAAGGCCAACTCAGACAGCGTCGGCCGACGCAGCCCGACCCGATTTATCGTCGGGGACAGTCATAAGCCGTCGTGAGAAATATTAAACATGTTATATTCCACGAAGCGACAACAAATCGCGTCGGGCTGCGTCGTACGACGCTGTCTGAGTTGGCCTTAACACGTTTGAAACGTAAAATATACGATTTCCCCATTGTGTATGTTCTGTTAAACCTTACAAGCCAGAGGTGGTAGTCAATTTACATTTTCCCATCAAGTAGGCAAAATCTTGTATCGATTACAGAGTGCAATTTATAAATTAGTAATGGGAGTTACTCATCATGTACCAAAGGCCTGGCTTGGTACAATAGAAGGACATCTTTTGAAATACAATTTTATTTATAAAAAATAAACAGTGAAACTTCACTACCAAAACGGAATAAACATTTTGAATTGGTATCCAAAGCAAAGCATAGAAGTCACTTCCAAAAATTGTGTTAATTTAGTGACATATACTTTCTATATCAGATCTCTATTATTAAGTTTCTATGATTAGTAGTTCCTTGTATAGTGGTCAAATGTCAGTATAGGGCAGGGGCGGATCCAGAAATTGGGGACTGGGGTCTGCTCCCTCTAAATTCGCCCTTTCCTTTCTATTTCTAGATTGTGTTACCAACCAAAAAGTACAGTATTGTCAAATTCACTGCACCCCAAAGTGCATACAAACCCCAACTGGAGTAATTATTTATTTAATGTATGTATAATATAATAGTAGGCCTTAAAAAAAGATTTTTTTGAGTGTCTTAAAATTGTTTTTTAAAAATCAATCATAAGCCTGATAGAATACCAGAATGATGACACTGTGCCAACCTATCATGTAGGTATTTAACATGAATACATTTTCACGTTATTTTGGAAGGGTGACTTTTCTAAATGTAATGTAGTTGATAATACTTTTCTATAATAAAAAATATATATATTTTGTATACAGGTAATAATAGGGTTTTCAATTTTTAGAATTTTCATAAATGAAATATATATATTTATGGATTTTTTGTAGTTAACTTGTAATTCATATATGGCGGCAAAAGGTTGTTAATCTTACCGAATGACTCAGCTTGAATTGGCGGCACCAGAGATTCCCCGATTATGCATCCAAGGTACCTTACAAGGAATAGCCACCCACAGAAATATAAACAAAAAATTAGGCTCCTGGGGGGAGCATGTGTCTAGACCAGCCGTGTAGTTATTCTTACCGCAGTTTTTGTAGTAATCCACCCAACTACAATTAGGTTTGAAACAGAGCATACCCTTCATGAATGTATTATTATAACCAAGCTGCTTATAATGCTTGTTAGTATCACGGTATGCAAACTCTGGTGTGTTAAATTAAGTTCGCTTAACTACAGACGATGGGTTGTTTGCAACCTCTAAAGTACCTCTTTCCTTGGCCTCATTCCATAATTCAAATTTCGAGGCATCTCACGAGCTTAATCTCCCCATGGCCAATAATTTTCTAAATTGACGATCATACCATCGCCAATCCCCCTTTAGGGCAGCCATCCTTCTAACATTGTTTGAATGCTTCAATACCGCTTGCATATATAAGGGGTTGTTCCGACTGTTGTTCCCCTTGACATAAAATGGCTGTAAACACCGTAAAAAGGACTGTCCACTTACTTATACTCTTCATGTTTATTCGCAGGAACCCAAGTGGCCATCAAAATCCCACCTTTGTTCACCATTCTTTGCTCGCATTCCATATTTTTGCTAGTGTACCCTTATTTCATTTCAGCTCTACGTATTCCCCTGCCCATATCTTACGTTTAATTTCAAAGTCAATTAAAGCAGCAAGAGTTGCGAAAATTTGAACCTAGAACACCCAGATTTCAGGCTAAACATACACACACAAGCAATTGTAAGATATCAGTTTTCTTTCGCCCGGGTGGGAGGGATTGGGGTTCCCCCCTGTAAGAGCATTTATGTATTACTGCAGAACAGGGGAATATGCAGACAGGCGCGTAACATGGGTCATGGGTTGGGGGAGGGGGACAAAGGTAATATTTTCCAAGGTTGGTAATTTAAAGATGTGCAATTTTTAGAGGAAATTGGCCCACTATAGCATCATACTAACATTTATTTTCCTCTATTGACATGAGTTACAGAAACAATATACAATATGATAAAAGAAAAAAATGAGAATGAGAACATGCAATGAAAGAAGGTTCGGTCCCGAAAAGAAAAGTCTTGAGTTGGGCAAGCCTGAAAAAAATATGAAAACTCGTTGGACAATAATAACTGAATTAATAAATAATTAAAAGAAAATAACAAAAACATTCATCAAAAAAATCAAACGAATAAAAGAAAATAAATGAATAAAATAAATTATAATAAATAAATACATAAATCTTCGATCATAGCGGGACACATCGAGAAACGACCGATAATGTAAATCAAAGGTCTAGTTAGTATTAATAATTTGAATCAAGTGTTTTTTTAAGCTTTGAGGAAAAAGATTTAGAAGAAACGGAATTTAAGATTGTGGATGGTAATCTGTTGATGAAAGTGGGACCTGAGTATCAAATATTGTGCTGAAAGTGATTTGTATTATAAATTGGAATATGAATTTTAGTTGATCGGGTACTGTAATTGGGAATAGAGTGAATCTGAATATATACAGTATCGTTAAACTGAGTTGGAAGTAGAGAATGCGTTGCACAATACATAAATGAGCCTTGCTGGAATAAATTGATATCTTTGAGTTTCAGTAGGTTTAAGTTTGAGAATAGATGGGATGAATGATACCGTAGAGGGCCAGATATAATCATTATAGCCTTTTTTGAAGAGTTTGCATTTTTGTAATCTGGACGAGTATGTATTGGCCTAAACAGTATTACAGTAGCTCGAAACCAAAATCTTGAAGATTTTCGTTTTGAGTTCGTTTACGTAGGTTTTCCATGACAAACAACTGTCAGTATGAACACAAGGAATTTGGCAGACTTAACAGAGGGTATTTCGTGGCCATTTGGATCTTATAGGCTGAAGTGTCGATGGTTTTTAGTTTAGAAAGAGTCCCAAACAGGATGAAGCTAAACTTCCTATGATTCAGGGATAATTTGCAGCAAAATATTGTGAAATGGGAATGAGATTAGAATTAATATTATCAAATAAAGTTTGGATAATTTATGACGACAATGAAAAAACGGTAGTATCATCGGCATAAAGGAAAAAAATCAAGAATTTTAGATGATAAAGATTGTTAACTATATAATAAAAAGAAGAGGTCCAAGTAGGGAAAATTGGGAGTCCCACATGTAATTGGTCTGAAATCGGATACTGAGTTGAAATACTTGGTACATTGTGCACGGTCAGAAAGATAACTTTTTAAAAGGCTGTGCGTGGGTCCACGGATTCCATAGTGGGATAATTTATACAAAAGAATGCTGTGGTCAATGGTATCGAAAGCCTTGGAAAGATTGATGAAAATTCCAATCGAGAGTTGTCGGTTTTCAAATGCATTAACGACTTTGTTTGCCAGATCTATTAATGCCATTGAAGTATTATAACCTTTCCTAAAGCCAAACTGTCTGTTGTAGAGTATGTCATTTTGAAATAAATTTAAATGTACGGTCATAGATGACTCCTTCCAAGGCTTTCGAGAAAATTGATAAAGTTAGACAGATCAGATTTGATCATAAGGGTAACGCGCGCTAGCTTCTGTCCTGACTGGGAACACTCCATTAGACAGGGCAAGATTGAATATGTGACATAATGTTACTTGCTCCCATACAGGGAATTTATTCATCAAACTCTAGGCCTCCGGCCCCTTGTAAAACAAAATTATTACAAATTAAATAAGCGTGCTGTGACAATACCGTACTTTAAATACATTTCATTAATACACCCGTGTTTCTTTGTTTTCCTTTCTCTTAAATGCATGATAAATAAATAAACATACTTTTCTAATTATATTACTGTTTTTTGGTCTCTTATACACATCT